ACATCTTTTAGTACATGTGGACGATTGTTGAGTGATTACTGCTACAGACTAACACCCGAAATGGTTGAAGCGCTGATGATAATGAGAGAATATTTGTATGCAACCAGAAGAAGATGAGATGTTGATGAAAAATTAAGGATTCAAGCTAATTTGGATGCTATCACACTCAAATGAATTGTCCAACTCGGATGATTGATGAATAATTAATTAATTTTTATTTTCAGTATGTAATTTTGTGATATTTTTATTTTTACTTTAAGGTGGAGTATAATATAAATGATTGGTAGGTGTGTAGGTGTCAACCTAGTTGGGATGTACATCAACTATAGTGATGCAATTACTCTACAATCTATTTGATGAGATGATATAAATTTATAATAATTCATTTCATATATAAAAGTTATTATTTTACATTCAATCATTTTTGTGTCCAATGTGTACTTATTAAGTTAATGAAAAACAAAATTAGGCCCAAGCCCGGCCTAAGCTCGAAACCCGACCCAAGGTTTTTTGAAAATTGGTATGATAATTCATTTTAGGTGACCGCTCGAGCGGAAATGAAATGCTCTTAGTAGTTTGTTTTGCAGGCCAAAGAACCGCTCAAGCGAACAAATGGCCACTCAAGCAAATATGAGGGGTTCCTAGTATCTTGTTTGGCAGGCAGAAATACTGAGAGACCTCACTTGAGCGCTCGAGCAATCTGCGCGATTTTTGTAACTTAAAAAGTCACATTTTAGATCATTTCTTCACTTTTCTTCTCTCTTCTTCTCCTGTCTCTCTAGCTCCGAAAACCCTAGCTTTTCTCTCTAGAAATCTTTCATCTCTACTTAGATTTACAAACCCATTGCTTGCAAAATTGAAGTTTGAGTTAGGGCCAAGCTTTCTACTGATTGGATTGGGATTTTGCAATGAGGTTGTTGATTATCTAGCTTTTAGTCTTGAAACTTGAGGAAGGATTACTTTTAATCTTGTATCTCTTTAGTTTGAGGATGATTATGTGGTATTATTGTGACATTGATTTATGATTGATGTTTGAGTTTACAAAAATTGGGTTTCAACTTCAAAAATTGGATTTCTCCTATATTTTCTCAAAATTTATATCAATGTTTGTGGATTATGAAAACTTTAGTTGAAAAATAGCATTTAATATGATGGAGGGGCAAAAGCCCCAAATTTCATGAAAACCCTAATTCTTGAAATTGAACAATGATGTGATTAAATGGAATTAACTTTCAATTCTCTAAATTTATGATTGAATTATGAGGTAGAGATGTATTTTGATTTGAGACTTGTTAAATTGGAAGCTTTTGATATTTTTCTCTGAAATATGAAGATTATGTCTCCATAATAGTTTCATTATTGGAATGGTAATATTTACTTTTATCCTCATAAATGTATAAATACTTAGAAATGTTATTTGAGGGGCTGGTAAAAGCATGGGAGTCCGAGTTGAGAGTTGGTTTTGGAAAAAGGTGTGTGTTGTTGGTATCCACAAGGGGAAAAGCTTAGGTCGCCAATTGCCTTGTCTTGAACTTATCGTCGGACGAATGTAGGAAAGTGTTTTTGGGTTTTCATTGGTCTTGCCGTATTGTAGTCAGCAAAAGTGAAAAAAACAGATGATTTTGGGTGCCTATTCCATGTCGTATTAATAGCCGGCAAATGTGGGGATATGTTCGGATATAAACCTATGTATATGTATGTATTGGGACTGTCTTTACGGACTTCATAGCATATCTACCCCCCAATATTGAATTGAGAAATTGTAAAAGCTATGAATTCATGTATTCTTTCTTAAATTAATACTAAGAGTTGAATTAATTATGTTTGGTTGTGATAATGCCATATGGATCTTTGAATAATCAGATATTCTGTTAAAAGTATTTCTACAGGGCATCTAACTCATTCCTATCTAACAAATTTCAAGAATTGGTGACATGCAACCACTTCATTGACAAGGAGGGAAAAAACTTTCTTTTGTTGGTGGAGCATGATAGCTCTTGGATGTAATGTATGGAAGCTCCGTGCATATTTGTTTTGGGACTGTGAGTCCATTTGTTGTACAAGGCTATGCCTTGTTGAATTGTAAGCCATTAAGGCATTCATTTTTATTTATTTATTTATTTCGTTTATCCTCTAGCTATTCGAACTTTGGAATGGTTATGTATTGAATAGATGAACACGGAACTTGTAGTTTGAAACCTTAGTTCAATGAGAAAGTGGACTTTTGGGGATGATGTCATTATGATTATGATAAGATTTTGGTTTAAGCATCTATTAAATAATGTTTTAAATTAAATTGTTTGAGGGCGTTACAAATTAGTATCAGAGCTAACCGAGTTTGACTACCTTGAGCTCATCGAAAATGGCTAACGCTATAGTGAGTCTGCCATGCTAGGAAGGATGTTAATTGCTTAACATGATTATGTGTCTATGTGAGTTGTGGGTATGAGATCAAACATCTTGGATACAACTTGGATCCACTGTACTCATTGAAGTCCTTTCGGAAAGGCACATGATCAATGCTTTTTTCACTTGGAAGTCTTTGAGCACCGTGGGACATGTTGATATCTTAGAAGGGTGGTTTGTATGTGCTCTATGTGACAAGGTTCTTATGTGGTTTGCCTAATGTGATTTAAATGTATGTATGGTCTCATGCTAGTGTGCGAGGAACGGGTGAGACTACGAGTGGAAAGGTGAGTCACAAATGTAATTTTATTTCTACTTCTTATAGGATGTCAGGACATGGAAGAGGCCATGGTAGACCTCGTTGGGATGGTCGGAATATTCCGGCTCAGGCAAAGATCCCTCCTCAAGAAACAAGAGTAGGTCAAAACAACGTGGCCGCTCCACTAGCCCAAGATGTAATAGGGGCATTGGCCCAAGAGATGACAGGGGCTCTTAGAGAGTCCATGGACATATTGAGGGCCAAACAAGTGGCTAGGATCGTAAAATAAGAGACTAAAACTACCTTCCTAAAATAAGAATTCTTTCATTCAAACCCCACTGAGTTCAGTGGCGAGCCTGACCCTATGAAAGCAGATGAATGGTTGGAGCAGATTGTTAAATCTTTTGAGATCTTAGACATTCGTGAGAATGAGCTCCGGGTGGCATTGACGGCCTATCAACTAAAATGAGCAGCCAGACAGTGATGGAAGTATGCCAAGAACCAGATGCGGCATTGGCGGCCTATCAATTAAAATGAGAGGCCAGGTAGTGGTAAAAGTATGCCAAGAGCTAAATTAAGCACACATGAGAGGCATTTATACACACTTTTCAAGAGAAATTCCTCCATCCCACTGCTAGGGAATGGTTGAGGAGGCAGTTGGAGGAGTTGTTACAGCTCGACACACCTATGGCTGAGTTTGAACCCACTTTCACCAGTCTTTCCCATTTTGCACATGAGCTTGTGACAACAGAAGAGCACTAATGTTTAGAATTTGAGAAGAGATTGAGGCCAAAAATCTTAATGAAGGTGGTGGGTAACATGATTTGTGATTATGATCAGTTAGTGGAGACTGTAGCACATAGTAGAGGTAAAGGAGGCAAGACAGACGTTGAAGAGGATAGGATACTCAGAATCCCGGGGTGATTCGGGATCCTTTAAGAAGTCTAGGGGTTCAACATCATCATTTCAGTTACCACCACAGCAGACCAAGGCTTTAGGTTTTGTGATGGGTGGAAGTTCAGGGAACATGGGTTAAACCCGTGGTGTGTGTTACCGATGTGGCCAGTTGGGTCACAAAGCTTCAAAGTGTGGACAGAAGGGTGGGCCGTAGTCTTAGTTTGCTCGTTTTTAGAGCTAGCCTCAGAATAGAGGTCAGGCTCCATCGTGTTATCAGTGTGGTCAGCCAAGGCATTTGAAGAAATTTTGTTCATAGAGAGTAGGGTCACAGCCAGTATGTTGAGATCTCGTCAGTCAGGAAGTTTTCAGGTAGGTTAGAGGCAGAGATAGCCTCATTAGTTAGCCAGTCATGTCAGGTATCCAGGGCAGTACACAGGGCCACATCTGCGCAATCTGTGCAACAGGCCTATGTTTCGAGAGGTGATCTATGATAGTAGAGGTAACAGGGAAGGGTGTATGTTGTCACTGTATTAGAGCAGTCTTTAGGACCATCCGTTGTGAGAGGTACATATCTTATTTTCACTACTTGGTCCTCATGTGTTGATAGATATTGGGCCATCTCACTCATTCATAGCATCTACATTTGCATCCATGTTGGGTTTAGTAAGTGAGCAATTAGAGTCTCCACTTTGTGGTAGAGTCACCCGTTGGGGGTGAGAGTTTCTCGACAAATTTGTAGTCGTCTTTGTAGACGACATTCTAGTCTAATCACCTTCTGAAGAGGAGCATGAGGGCACCTCCGCATTGTCCTACAACTCCTTAGAGAACATCATTTGTATGCAAAGTTTGAAAAGTGTGAGTTTTGGCTCTCAGAAATGAAACCTTTGGGCCATGTAGTTTTCGGGGACGGAGTTACAATGGATTCTTCAAAAAGTAAAGTTGTATATAATTGAGATCAACCTAAAAATGGCTTTGAAATTTGTAGTTTCCTAGGTTTAGTTGGTTACTACTGCCACTTTGTAAGGAATTTCTCTTCTATAGCATCACCTTTGACTAAATTGACTCGTAAGGAAGTAAAATTCATTTAGAGTGAAGCTTGTGAGAAATCCTTTCGGGAACTAAAGCTTAGGTTGATTACTGCTCCTATTCTTATTATATCGGAATGTGGCTTGAGGTATACGGTGTATTGTGATGCCTCTAAGAAAGGGTTGGGGTGTGTTTTGATGCAAGAGGGTAGGGTACTGCATACGGTTCTCGACAACTAAAGACTCATGAGAGAAATTACTCGACGCATGACCTGAGCTTGCCGCTGTCATATTTGCTTTGAAACTTTAGAGATATTATTCATATGGTGAGAAATTTGAAGTATTCTCCGATCATAAGAGTCTTAAGTACCTATTTTCTCAAAAAAGGCTTGAACTTGCATCAATGGAGATAGATGGAGTTTATGGAGGATTACGACTTTGAATTACACTATCATCCTAGAAAGGCCAACGTAGTAGCTGATGCCTTGAGTAGAAAATCCATAAGTGCCATGGCTAGTCTCACAATGAGGGAATGGAAGATAATGAGGGATATTGGTGAGTTTGACTTGCAACTTCATGAGTCTTCTGAGCAGGCTACCATGTACACAGCTATCACACAACCTATACTTGTTACATGAGTAGTGGAAGCACAAAAGGGTGACCCAGAAGTGGAGACTATTTGGGAGAGTATCTCCAAGGGAAAAGAAGAGAAAGGTTTGAACGTATATACCAATGGGAGTGTCCATTATTTTGACCAGTTGTTTGTGCTTGAGCCTATTAGAGATGAAGTTCTTCGGGAATCCCATCACTCTCACCCTGCTGTGCATCCGGTAGGCACAAAAATGTACCATGACCTTAGCCTTCAATTGTGGTGGAGGGATATGAAGAATGATGTAGCCTCGTTTGTGTCTAAGTACCTAACTTGTCAACAAGTCAAGGCCAAACATCAAAAACCGTGGGATTATTACAACCTTTACCAATTGCCAAGTGGAAATTGGAACGTGTCAACATGGACTTCGTTACGGGTCTTTCTAGAATGCAAAGGGGTAATGAAGTGATATGGGTGATTGTGGATTGGCTCACCAAGTCAGTCTATTTTCTTGCCATGAGTGTGGGGGATTCTGTTGAATGTTTAGCCAAACTTTACATCCATGAAATTATTCGACTTCATGGAGTTCTGATGAGCATAGTTTTGGATAGAGATCCTCACTTCACTGCTAGATTGTGACAAAGTCTTCAAAGTGCCTTGGGTACTCAACTAAATTTTAGTACCGCCTACCACCCTCAAACTGATGGACAATCCGAGCGTACCATACAAATTCTAGAGGACATGTTAAGAATGTGTGCGTTAGACTTCAAAGGGTCTTAGGAGAAACACTTGCCTTTAGTTAAGTTTGCTTCCAACAATAGTCACAAGGCTAGCATTGAGATGACACCTTTTGAAGCTCTTCATGGGTGTCTTGCAGATCATCGATTTGTTGGGCTGAGGTAGGGGATTCACCTATGCTTAGGTCCGAGTTGGTTTGCGAGACCATAGAGAATGTAGCTTTTATTCGGAAGAGATTAGTCATGGCTCAAAGCCGTTAGAAAAGCTATGCCGATCGGAGGTGAAAACCATTGTCCTTTGAGGTAGGAGACTATGTATTTTTAAAGATCTCGCTTAGGGGGAGATTGATGAGGTTTGGTAGAAGCGAAAAATTATCTCCCCGATTTATTGGCCCTTTTGACATCATAAAGCAGATAGGAGAAGTTGTGTATTGTTTTGCCTTACCACTATAGCTCTCCGGAGTGCATAATGTGTTCCACATGTGAATGCTTTGCAAGTACGAGCCCGATCCTTTCCAGGTGTTAGATTGGATGGATATTGAGGTTGATAAGGATGCGTTTTATGAGGAAAGACCAATTCAAGTTCTGGATTCCCGGGAGCAAGTAATGAGGGGTAAGGCCATTCCGTTAGTTAAAGTATTATGGCGTTACCACGGTGTTGAGGAAGCGACTTGAAAGCGTGAAGTCGAGGTCCGTGAGAAATACCCAGATTTATTCCAAAATGTGTGATGTAGCCACTTATATTACTTTTCCTTTGATATGTGGTAAACCGAGTGTAACCCATATTTTCTCATTCTTTTTCCTTTTTTTGCTACAAGAAATGGTTTGTTATCTATTTGGGGATTGTTAAGAACTAATCATTATTATTTTGTTATCATGTCATTGATGTTGTGTTGAGGATTGACATTATTTTGGGTTCGAAATTCCTTAAGGGGGAGAGATTGTGGCAATTCGTTTCAAGTGACCACTTGGTGGAAAGACCACTCGAGCGGAGATGAGATGCTCCCAGTAGTTTGTTTTGCCGGTCAAAGGACCGCTCGAGCAAACAAATGGTCACTCGTAGGGCTGGGCATAGGGTTATCTGAACCACACAACCCGCCCAACCCGAACCGATACATATACAAATGGGTAATTTCGCAGACACAATGCGGGCGGATGCGGTTTGAAATATGACATTATTGCAGGTTGTGGGTTTTATCCGCACTCACAAGAACCCGTCCGTACTTAGACTTTTTATTTTATTTTATTTTTTTATAATAAAAATCTAGACCATTGATTTCATTCATCCTATCCTAGATATTTTTTCCCAACAAACATGTGCATGGAATTGGAATTTTTGAAAGTCGGATGTGATTCATAATGGAGTTTGTGAGTTTCCAAATGTTTTTATTTTATTTAATGGGTTAGAATTGGATGGAGTTTGACAACAATTTATTGTTATTTTATTATTACATTTTGGATGAATGTAAAAGTTAATGAAGAATTACTTTCAGGTAAGTTTAGGATTTTGAATGATTTTACTTTAATTGTATTATTGGGTAGTGAATTATTTTTATGATTTAGTTTAGGATTTTGAAAAATGTACTTGTGTTAATTTATGATTTTATTTAAAAGTTTAGGATTTTGAATGATTTGCTTGTTTTAGGAATTGATTTTGTTGTGTTTTTAATTTTATAAGTTTTAATTCATTAATTGTTAACGTTGAGCATTTTAGAAAATGGGGGAAAAAATGGCCCAAAATAAATATTTACAAAACGGGAAAAAATGGTTCAAAAATAAATTTTTAAAGAAAAAGTCCAATTCGCAAACCGCCCGTAACCGTCTACACATCTGTGAACCCTATTCGCGCAACCCACACTACGGGCGGTTGCGGGTTCAATTTTTCCCAAACTGCACATATGCGGATGGGTTCAAACTGCAAACCGAATCGTCCAAAAACCAAACCGCGACACTCAAGCGAATATGAGGGGTTCCCATCGTTTTGCAGGCAGAGATACTGAGAGACCTCATTCATTACTTGAGCGGTCTGCACAATTTCAACAACTTAAAAAGTCACATTTTAGATCATTTCTTCACTTTTGTTCCCTCTCTTCTTCTCTCTCTCTAGTTCCGAAAACCCTAGCTTTTCTCTCTAGAAATCTTCTATTTCTACTTAGATTTACAATCCTATTGCTTGCAAAAGTTGAAGTTTGAGTTAGGGCCAAGCTTTCAACCGATTGGATTGGGATTTGGAGAAGAGGTTGTTGATTATCTAGCTTTTAGTCTTGAAACTTAAGGTAAGATTACTTTTAATCTTGTATCTATTTAGTTTGAGGATGATTATATGGTATTATTGTGACATTGATTTATGATTGATGTTTGAGTTTACAAAAATTGGGTTTCACCTTAAAAAATGGGATTTCTCCTATATTTTCTCAAAATTTGTATCAATGTTTGTGGATTATGAAAACTTTAGTTGAAAAAATAGCATTTAATATGATGGAAGGGGCAAAAGCCCCAAATTTAATAAAAAACCTAATTCTTGAAATTGAACAATGATGTGATTAAATGGAATTAACTTTCAATTCTCTAAATTTATGATTGAATTATGAGATAGAGATGTATTTTGATTTGAGACTTGTTAAATTGGAAGATTTTGAGATTTTCTTTGAAATATGAAAATTATGTCTCCATAATAATTCCGTTATTGGAATGGTGATATTTACCTTTATCCTCATAAATGTATAAATCCTTGGAAATGTTATTTGAGAGGTTGGCAAATAGCATGGGAGTCTGGGTAGAGAGTTGGTTTTGGAAAAAGGTGTGTGTTGTTGGTACCCGTGCAAGGAAAAGTTTAGGTGCCCAATTGCTCTGTCTTGAATTTATCGCCGGACGAATATGGGAAAGTGTTTTTGGGTGTCCATTGGTCATGCCATATTGTAGTTGGTAAAAGTGAAAAAATGGATGATTTTTGGTGCCTATTCCATGCCGTATTAATAGCCAGCAAATGTGGGGATATGTTGGGATATAAACCTATGTATATGTATGTATTGGGGCTGTCTTTAAGGACTTCATAGCTTATCTACCCTCTGGTGTTGAATTGAGAAATTGTGGAAGTTATGAATTCATGTATTCTTTCTTAAATTAATACTATGAGTTGAATTAATTATGTTTGATCGTGATAATGCCATATGGATCTTTGAATAATCAGATAATCTGTTAAAGGTATTTTTACTGGGCATCTAGCTCATTTTTATCTAACAAATTTCAGAAGTTGGTGACGTGCAACCACCTCAGTGACAAGGAGGGGAAAAACTTTCTTTTGTTGATGGAACGTGATAGCTCTTGGATGTAATGTGTGGAAGCTCCGTGCGTATATGTTTTGGGACCGTTAGTCCATTTCATTGTACAAGGCTATGCCTTGTTGAATTGTAAGCCATTAAGGCATTCATTTTTTATTTTTATTTTTTTATTTCGTTTATCCTCTAGGTATTTGAACTTTGGAATAGTTATGTATTTAATAGATGTAGTTTGAAACCTTAGTTCAAGAAGAAAGATGACTTTTGAGGATAATGTCATTATGATTATGATAGATTTTGGTTTAACCATGTATTAAATAATGTTTTAAATTAAATTATTTGGGAGTGTTACAACTAGACCAACTCAAATTTTAACGGGAGCCAAAATGGGCCTTGGCTGGGTTAGGCCAAATTTACATGCCTATTTTTATATTAGGAAATTTAGTCAAAACCCCATGAACTCAACATTTTAGTGTGAAAAGTACAGTCTCATTTTTTTTTTTTAAATCTTTGAAACCCCTTCAAACACTACTGTTTCCTTAACCAAAAAAATTGTTTCTAATTTTTTGTGGATGATCTTACCCTTGATATATATATATATAGTATAAATTTGTATCTGATCTCTTCAATGCTATTCACGTTTTTGTTGCATTATGTTTTTTCATAGTTCATCATCATCGATTTTCAGCATATTCACGTCATCATTGCTCTTAACGTCATTTTGGGCGGAAAACAAGCCAAAACGACGTCATTTTGGCAGTTTCGAGCCATTTGAGCCACTGATTTTGTGGCCCTCAAACATTTTTCATATATATACATAGTATAAATTTGTATCTGATCTGTTCAATGCTATTCACGTTTTTGTTGCATTATGTTTTTTCATAGTTCATCATCATCGATTTTCAGCATATTCACGTCATCATTGCTCTCTGTTCTTTATCATTCTTCATCGATCCTAGTTCGTAGTTCTTCATCATGGATTGTAGTTTGTAGTTCTTCATCATTGTAGTCCCTAACATATCACTCTTTTCTTCATTAATTGATTTGGTACAGTTTCAGGTTCGTTCGATTTTCGGTTGAGGTAGATTTGAAGTTTTGTTTGATCATTGTTGATGATTTTTATCCTTGATTGATGTGTTTCTTCTTGTAATATTTACTCTGTTTTTTGTTGTTGATGTCATGTTTAGAAACGGTAGTAAAATCTCACTCTGGTAATGTGTTTAAATCTGATTTGTTTGTGAACTCGGACCAAAGATATGATGTTTTCCTAATTAATTATTGTGCTCCAATTAGATGAATGAATAGTTCTTGCATTTTTATATTTGTTTGTTGCATCTCTTGTAATGATGTTGCGTTTGTAATTGATAAATTTGACGGTACAATTTTATTTTGGTTTGAGTTTTATTTGGTGACAATTTATTTATAAATGATAATGGAGATTTATTTTGGTTTGTTCATAAAATTGACAATGAATTTTTACTCTAATTTGATTTTTAGGTCTCGTTTGACAAGCGGTGATTTTAGTTAAAAAGTTATTAAAATAACCAAAAAGTTAATAATTTATACTAAAAAGTCAAATATTTCATTTTCTCTCTATTTTTTACACATCTTTTTACATTATATTTTAACAAAAAAAAATCAAAAAATTACTAAGAAAGTCTATTATCAATCGAGGCTTTAGTCTATGTAGATTTTATGTTTATGTAATTGTTTATTAACAATTATAGTGATTATATGATGCTTATTGATGATGACGATGATATTTCACTATTTAAATGTTAAAAATTTATAGTAAAATTTACTATGAATTAAAATAAAATTTTATTTTATTTTATTTTGGGATAGAATAATTTTTTTTACTGTTGACGTTAATTTCAACGATAAAAATTTTATCATTTTTTTTAAGGATTTTTATAACCAATGTGAATCTTATTTGATAGATCTTGATGAACGGATTTTAAAAATATTAATTTTATTGAAAATCTAAATCAAAAGTTATATAATTTTAAAATTTAAAATATATTTTATTATTCTTAGTACATGAAAGTTTTATTATCAGAGAATTTGAACAAATTTCTTATTTAAAAATCATTTTTATTAGCACTAACGCTATTTTTGATCTTAAAAAAAAAAAAAAAAATCACTTTTATTAATTAAAAAAAATTATCAAGTTATGGTGAAACATCGGTAATAATATATGGATAAGAAGAAAAGAAAAATTGAAAATATCAGGTGAAAATAAAAGAGTTATCCTACAAATACTGTCGTAGACTCCGTATGTATCTGTGTGTCTGGTTTTTGTATTTTTGGTTGTGAAGAAATACATTGATTAACATATAAGTATTTTACAACTGAAAATTAGGGTTAGGGTTTGGTGTAGCTTTGTTGGTTGATTTTGAACATGGAAGAGATCACCCAAGGAGTTCAAGAGATCAACATCGTCGATTCGCAAAAGAAGAATCGAATTCAGGTCTCCAACACCAAAAAGCCCTTGTTTTTCTACGTCAATCTCGCCAAGGTAATCCCAGATCTCCCTATTTTTGTATCTATCCATGCATGTATGCTTATGTAATTACTGCCTTTTTTTTTTTTTCTTTTTTTCTTTATGATTTCTTGAATGGAGAAACCTGATCAGCCTGACTTCCCCCAAGTTCCTAATCATTGACCCATCTCCTTTTTGGTTAATGGGGAATAAAGAAATGAATGAATTTTCTTTTCAAAAAATATGACGCAAAACGACGTCATTTTGGCAGTTTCGAGCCATTTGAGCCACTGATTTTGTGGCCCTCAAACATTTTTCATATATATACATAGTATAAATTTGTATCTGATCTGTTCAATGCTATTCACGTTTTTGTTGCATTATGTTTTTTCATAGTTCATCATCATCGATTTTCAGCATATTCACGTCATCATTGCTCTCTGTTCTTTATCATTCTTCATCGATCCTAGTTCGTAGTTCTTCATCATGGATTGTAGTTTGTAGTTCTTCATCATTGTAGTCCCTAAAATATCACTCTTTTTTTCATTAATTGATTTGGTACAGTTTCAGGTTCGTTCGATTTTCGGTTGAGGTAGATTTGAAGTTTTGTTTGATCATAGTTGATGATTTTTATCCTTGATTGATGTGTTTCTTCTTGTAATATTTACTCTGTTTTTTGTTGTTGATGTCATGTTTAGAAACGGTAGTAAAATCTCACTCTGGTAATGTGTTTAAATCTGATTTGTTTGTGAAATCAGACCAAAGATATGTTTTCCTAATTAATTATTGTGCTCCAATTAGATGAATGAATAGTTCTTGAATTTTTATATTTGTTTGTTGCATCTCTTGTAATGATGTTGCGTTTGTAATTGATAAATTTGACGGTACAATTTTATTTTGGTTTGAGTTTTATTTGGTGACAATTTATTTATAAATGACAATAGAGATTTATTTTGGTTTGTTCATAAAATTGACAATGAATTTTTACTCTAATTTGATTTTTAGGTCTCGTTTGACAAGTGGTGATTTTAGTTAAAAAGTTAAAAAGTCATTAAAATAACCAAAAAGTTAATAACTTATACCAAAAAGTTAAATATTTCATTTTCTCTCTATTTTTTACGCATCTTTTCATAAAAATTCAAAAATCATCCCAAACCTATTAGTTTTTTGGGAAACTTAGTCTAGGGTCCCTCTCCCACTTTTCATAATGGAAGAGATCCACAAAATTATTTTTTGATGTCTAAGGTCCCTAAACATATATCAGATAAATTTGACCTTACCAAATCAAAACTCATCTCTCTCTCTCTCTCTCTCTAAACTTCTCCATTCTCAGACCTGACCAGATCAACTCTTGTTCCTCAACCCTGACTTCATTCTCCAGCCGATTGAGCTTCACCTTCACCGTCAATGGCGTCGCCGCTCAGGGTCTTTTTCTCCGATTCGAACACAGTTGCGTCGGTGATCGAGAAATTGCTGAAACTTCTAGAGATTGTGTCGATGTGCGCGGAGGGACGGGCGACGATGGGCGGAGACGAGAGTTGTGTGGCAGCGATTGTGATTCAACTCCTTCAGGTCCACTGACCTCTTTATCTCCCCCACCGCCCTCACATCCACCGCACCACCATCGTCTTCGTACCCAGCTGTCTAATTTCCTTTGCTCCATTCCTCAGCTGAATTGGGTACAAACCCTTTCAAGCATTGACATATTGGAGTATTATTGTTGTTGCAAACCCTGAAAGTTCCACAAAATCCATAGACATCACATGGATTTCCCGGTGCTGGTGCTGTCCAAGTAGTATACCAGTCTTTTCCATGCACCCAATTTATCGACGTCATAAAAATCCCGCTTCAAATTTGACAAAGGGGGATAAGGTTTTGGCAGATACATATTCAAGTCCTCTTGGTAGGGATCTCTGAATCAGTAAAGGGGGCTTTACAAGTGGAAAAGGTAGACAGAAATGGCAATATATCAGACAACTCCATTGTGGAATCTATATTAGGTGTGGATATATTCCCAGAGAAATTCTCTGGGTTTGGACTGAAATTTCTCTGGGTTGATCCAGAGAAATTTCAAAATTTTGCTGGAGAGGTAATGTTGTAGAAAGGCAGAGAAATTTAAAATTTCTCAGGAGAGATAATTTTGTGGGAAGACAGGTGAGGTCAAATTTCTTTGGAGTGTTGAGTCTAAAATCTCTCTGGAGTGTCGAGTGTGAGAATCGTCGATTTGAGATTCAAATTGGGGATGACAGTGGAGGAAGAATCCAAGGTGTTCTTGGCGAGTATAACCATTATAGCTCAATCCCTCAAAGTGTATAGTTTCGAAGAACTTCAATCTGCAACAGAATATTTCAGTCTCAAAATATAGGCATGCAGTAGAAGAATAGGGCTAAATTACAAATTCACAAGTACTGCTTACCGTCCCTGCAGTTGACCTTGAAGAAAGAAATGTGCTGTGTTTCATTCTAGATAACCCAAAATCACAAACCTAATAACAGTAAAATTCAAGTCAAGATGGATTAGCTTTGGAACATGGGTAATATTTCACCAAACAATCTTAATGATGAGATAAAGAAGCCACAGAGAAATTTCTCTGGAGAGTGGGAAGTATATGGAAGGCAGAGAAATTTTGAAATTTCTCTGGAGAGTCCATGAAAGGCTAAGGAGGCCAAAGAAATTTTGAAATTTCTCTGGACTAATTTTCTTTGAATCGAATTTTCTCTAGATTGATGTTGAGGGACCTTAGACATTATAAAAATATTGAGTGTCCTTTATGCTTTAAAATCATAATACCAGGGATCTTAAAAAAAACCTTACATTATATTTTAACAAAAAAATCAAAAAATTACTAAGAAAGTCTATTATCAAACGAGGCTTTAGTCTATGTAGATTTTATGTTTATGAAATTGTTTATTAACAATTATAGTGATTATATGATGCTTATTGATGATGACGATGATATTTCACTATTTAAATGTAAAAATTTATAGTAAAATTTACTATGAATTAAAATTTTATTTTATTTTATTTTATTTTGGGATAGAATGATTTTTTTACTGTTGACGTTAATTTCAACGATAAAAATTTTATTATTTTTTTTAAGGATTTTTATAACCAATGTGAATCTTATTTGATAGATCTTAATGAACGGATTTTAAAAATATTAATTTTATTAAAAATCTAGATCAAAAGTTATATAATTTTAAAGTTTAAAATATATTTTCTTATTCTTCATACATGAAAGTTTTATTATCAGAGAATTTGAACAAATTTCTTATTTAAAAATCATTTTTATTAGCACTAACGCTATTTTTGATCTTAAAAAAAAAAAAAAAATCACTTTTATTAATTAAAAAAAATTATCAAGTTATGGTGAAACATCGGTAATAATATATGGATAAGAAGAAAAGAAAAAATTGAAAATATCAGGTGAAAATAAAAGAGTTATCCTACAAATACTGTCGTAGACTCCGTATGTATCTGTGTGTCTGGTTTTTGTATTTTTGGTTGTGAGGAAATACATTGATTAACATATAAGAATTTTACAAGTGAAGATTAGGGTTAGGGTTTGTTGTAGCTTTGTTGGTTGATTTTGAACATGGAAGAGATCACCCAAGGAGTTCAAGACATCACCATCGTCGATTCGCAGAAGAAGAATCGAATTCAGGTCTCCAACACTAAAAAGCCCTTGTTTTTCTACGTCAATCTCGCCAAGGTAATCCCAGATCTCCCTATTTTTGTATCTATCCATGCATGTATGCTTATGTAAATACTTCCTATTTTTTTTTTCCTTTTTTTTTTTAGTTATAACTTTTTCATTACCTTTTTTTTTTGTTTTTTCACTTTCCTGGATCTGCGATTTAACTTATTTAGATGTGTATGTGCATGTGGAGCATACATGTAATTTAAATTCAATCAAAGTCTTGTCCTTTTTCTGACCATTTTATCGTTGTTGTGTTGTTATAATTGTGGATTTGCATATGCAGAGGTATATGCAGCAGCACAACGAGGTGGAACTTTCTGCCCTCGGCATGGGTATGTACCTCTTATGTGTATCAGTGTTTGTCTATATCTATATACACTACTTGAAGATTGCAATCTTACATCTAATATTTTTGGATATTTGATGAATGAAGATGGGTTGTTAACAATAAGGGCATTCTTGGGAAGAAAAAAAAAGTGCGACAAAGATTCAAAATTGTTTTGCGAATTAGATTTTTTGGCGATTTGATGTATGAGAAATATCGGTTGATAGCGGTTATTTATTGGAGCAATTAATTATATGGACATTCTTGGGTAAAAAACAAAACGTGACGAAGCTTCGAAGCTTCAAAACTATTATCCGTTTTGCGTTTTATATAATAAAATAGATGGAATATCTATAATTTAGGATGATTGCATAGTTTTACATATTCTATTTTTGGGTTGGTACCTTTGAAAAATGTGTTACAGCTTATGAAGTATGGGTACTTTGAAAAACACGCCTTACCCGTACCGGGTACTTGCCGGTGTATAGTACCTCGTAAGATACTTCTGCATACGTACCAGGTACACGAAACACAGACCCAATTTTTTTGGGTGTACCCAGACATATCTAGTGTATACCCAAGTTGTACCGTACTTCAATTGAAATAATATTTTCTTCTACTACAAGATAAAACATCTTTCACTAAATTTCTTTTTTATTTTTTGTTTTATACTTAGTATGATTTTAAAATTAAACTATGGTTTGTAAGTTATTTAATATATTGATATATAATTTTGATTTATATATTTACTTTTGGCATTAAAGGTTAATTGTAGGTTAGACCTTAACAAATTAAACCGTTTAATTAATTTTTGCATTAATCTAAATTAAAAATAAATTTTTTTTTTATAAGCGTACCAAGCCGTACCCGTGCACGTACCCGTATTCTATTTTTTTTTTTGAATTTTACCGTATCAACGTACCTGTATCATACCAGTACCAAATACTCGTACCGGTACCCGTACTTCATAGGTTACAGCACAAAAGACCAACAATATATATTTTTTCATAATTGTTCATTCTCTAATTGAGTTTAAGAGTTATAGCTTCGTCATATATGTACCTTTGAAAAATGTGTATTATTGGTTTCAGCATTCCCTATAGTTTAGCACGTGCCATTTTGTTTTTCTGTTAGCTTTGCGGTCTTGGGAGTGTGTTGTGAGGCTTGCTTTGAGATGATTGGTATCTTTTGTCTGCCAACAACAAAGATTGCTAGGAATCAGCATGTGCATGCCTGTTTTTGGAGCTCTTTAGCACGATGAACCACCATATCAAAATTGTTACTCTCATTTGTGTCTGCATATGTTGTTTTCTAATGATGTCACTTGTTTTTCTGTGTTTCCATTGGTGAGAGATTATACGGAAAGGGAATTTATCAAAAAAAAAAAAAAAAGGATTATACGGAAAGGGAAAACATTATTTGGCCAGATAATTGAGTTGATTGATTTTGGAACCAATGTCCTTTATACAAGCTGCTATGCATATTCTTTCCTTTTTTTCTACAGCATTTGCTTGGATGTGTCTTGGAGGAGCCATTTATCAAAATACTTGAAATTTATGCTTCCCCCATAAATTTCAACTTAATGTTGAGAAATTAGATGTTGAGAAAACTACAAGGGCATTTACAAATATTTTAACTGCCTAAATTTCAACTTTATGTTGAGAAATTAGATGTTGCACTTTGTCTTTTGAATGGCTGTATAAATTTTGGGCACTGCCAAGCTAGATGAGGTTTTTTTTTTATTTTTTTTTATTGTACTTCCTAATTTTCTGTGGTTGTGTACTTCTCTAAATCCATTTTTATTTTTCTTATTCTTCTTTAATGGAAATTCAACCTCTTACATAGAATATTTGTGGGTGTTATATGATTGAGAACTGAATATTATTTGGCCTGTTTTCTGCCCTGATATTCTGCTGACATGGGTGTGCTCTTGTTGTCACTTCTCAATTTAGTAAATGTACTTAATTTGCATTAAAGTTCTAATATAAATTCCTTGTATGCTAGCTTATGTCTTCTCTTTCATACAATGACTTTTTTTATTTGTGTGTGTGTGGAACCAAAAGAAAAACAATCCAGGTATTTGTTGTTTGTAATTGTCACCCTTCTCTAGGCATAGTTTTTATTTTTTACATGTTTAATAGTGACAATGTAAAGAGTTCAGATGAAGGTGCATAGTTGTGGATGTTGGGGACAAAACAAAGATTCCGGGTCAAGATTTTTAAGTATTTTGAAACAAAGTAGTGTTGGTCATGTTTATAAAAATGTAATTTTGGTCAATATAAATGAAACAAAATATTTTTGTTAATTCTTTGTGATCAAATAGTTAACTTGTAGATTAGAATCCTTGTAATTTTCCTTTGGTTTTGTTGCTGCTTTCTGTTGGTCTTCCAAGATTACGTGATAAAAGTTTGAAGGACTAATTTTCTACTGCTTAAGTACATTCATAATCCAATTCGGATCCCCAAAATGTCATATAGTTTCCTACCATCCCTAATAAGTGACACATACAAGTTTGTGGCTATACTTTTGATCAGAGTTTTAAAAGGCTTTACCAAGACTCGGCTGGAGGTGAAGCTAAGGTAAAACGCATTGAGGCTTCAATTTTTAGGTATTACTCCCTATAAGCTTGTGCATATCACAGTTTGAGGTGTACGTCTCGAGTGCGCCTTGTATGCCTTTTGCACAGAAATGTATGAGGAGTATGCATATGAAAAGCTTGTCTTGGGCTCTCGTTAAAATTAGTCTAGTAGATGGTTTAAATAGAAAAAAGAAATACCTCTTTTGCAAACTATATTCCAAATAGGGCTAAGTAAGGAATCCGTAAAATCCGTAATTCGATCCGTTTCAACCCAATCCAGTTGGTTTGGATTGATTTTTTGAATCCGTGGTTCGGTTCCGAATTGAAAAATTAAAAATCCGTAATCCACGGATTGGTTCCGGATTGAACCCCACGGTTCCGAATTGAAACCGATTCGAACCGTATACAAATAGCCCATATTTATATTATACACCCTCCCGCATAGTATCTTCTATTATTCCATATAAAACCTAAACCCGTATAATATCTTTTTCTATTATTTTTATTTGTTGGTTTTTAGTTTTAATTTATAATGGTGTAAATACTTATGTGGAATCAGTTTTCTTATGATTGTTTAAATTCTAGAATAGCTTGTCATCATTGTGGAAAAACATGTTGCTATTGTGGAACTAATATGATGCTATGTTTATGTTTTTATGAAATTAAAATGTTTTATATATATATTTTTTTGTTATTTAATTATGTGAATCCGTGGTTCTAAACCCCGATCCAATTCATGTTTAAATAGATTGGTCCAGATTGGTTCCACGATTTAAACGAATTGAATTGGTTCTAATTTTCAACGGATTGGTCTTGATTTTATCTCAATTCTGACCAATCCGGACCATGCTCACTCCTAATTCCAAAGGAAAAATCAAATAAATGATTGATCAAGAAAAAAAAAAATTAAAAAAAATTAAGACTCGAGAGAAACTTGATATCTGAAGTTAAGAATGCCAATTTCACTTTCAATACGGGCAAGCTTCCTTATCTGCAATGAAATGTTCGACACCTTGATGAGAAAAGTATTTATGGCTTCATATTTAATTTTTAATATATTTGTTACTATTTTAAATTATTTAATATATTTATTAAATATAAATATTTGAAATTAGAAATGCTTACACCTACCATCACAAAGGGTAAAATGCCTTGCGTTACGCATTTGTCTTAAAAACTTTGCTTCGAATATAAAGAAGGTATTGAATTACATTCTGTAGAAAAAAATTTCATAAATTTTAGCACTACTGAACTTACTCATGTTATTGTTGTTGTAATTGTATTTTGTTGTTTTTCTAGTTCTTTATATCCTGTATTCCTAATTAATGAGGAGAGGCTTTTATTGAATTATACGTGCAGCTATTGCCACAGTTGTCACTGTTGCAGAAATACTGAAAAACAATGGATTGGCTGTTGAAAAGAGTAAGATTCTTGATTTTGTTGTTTATCATGAAAGAAAATATGTTTCTTCATATTTCGTCTCTTAAGCAAAATGTCGAACTCTTGATTTCCATAAAATTAAATGGTTATTATTTTGCAGAGATTATGACTTCAACTGTCGATATGAAGGATGAGTCAAGAGGGCGACCTATCCAGAAAGCTAAAGTAAGTTTGGAATTAAATGGAGTTTTATGATTTTGGTCATATATACATGATTTACACTGAAAAAAATAAAATAAAAATGGAGCCCCTGTTGTATTTCTTGCATCTGATAGATTTTTCATCCTTTTTATTACTCTTATGCATCTGGTTTCTGTAGACCCTTTTTTTTTTGGCTTGTCTGTAGATAGGATTCGGTGTGGATTTTTAACTTCTTTGTGGTTCACTTGTAAAATCATGCAAATTAAGCTATTGTTATAATCTAGCCTTGACCTGTTGATAATCTCTGTGTCTTCTGGTTCACAGATTGAGATATTGCTGGGGAAGACTGAGAAGTTTGATGAATTGATGGCAGCTGCTGCTGCAGAGAGAGAACTTGGAGAAGCTGAAGAGCAGAGTTGAAGTGGTACTATTTTAGTTTCTGGGTTGTTGGTCTTAATGTAGTATGAGTGAATGCAGTTTTAACCTGTTTCTTTAATTATAGTTGTCTAATGTCCTGTGGTCCAGAATGAGTTTTGTTAGCTGTGAAAGTGTTTCCTATGAACACAGAAACAAACACCACTTGCTATTCATATTCAAATTCAAATTTGTTATTTAATTTTTTAACTTGTTTGCTGAATGTTTCTGATTCTGATGTTCGAAATACGTGTAACCAAGTGAATTTTTCATCAAGAACTTGTCTTTCTTACTGATAAAAGCCAATTTCCCATTGTTTTTTTTATGGGGATTGTGGTAATGAAGTATATATATAGAAGTCATTGTTATGTTGCACTCGAACATTGCTATCTTACATTGTCATTGTACTAAATAAATTTGTTATGCTTCTCCTGCAGCTGCTTTACAGTATTAAGCTGGGTAGAGATTCTATCATATTTTATCTTTTTTACTATAATAATAAATATAGATTATATTTTTTCCTTTTGGGTACAAGGTATTCTATGCTGTTACCTTCTTACATGTCCATATTAGAAATGTTATTGGGATTATGTCAATCGTTCTCAATTCAAGGCCTATGCAAGTTAGAATAACATTGTAGTGACAATTCTTCCCCCATGTATTCCAAGTATGCTGGTTTAGACCTTGAATATTTGCACAAAATCTTTCTAATTTGAACCCAATAAAGCTAGGGACAGAACAAATCAACCTCTGCAATTGAGTGAGTGTTGCAATGGTTTGCTCACTTGTGCAGAAATTGGGTTGTTCTTTTCAGAATTTTGTTGTGGAGAGGTGAGAATGGTAAAAAAACACAGTTCTTGTGAACATATATGTTATATCATTATTGGCATCTAGAACTGTTCATAGAGTGCATGAGCTACCAAACGTTAATTTCTGATTTCTTATGGTCCTTGTCTGAAACATGGAATTGTGGATTGAAGTCTTGAATGATCACGAGATAGAAATATCGATGCACTTATTTTGTTTTTGGGGAGAGGAGTCTTGGCAACCTTAACCCTCCTAATGTGATGCAATTGGTTGTCATTGCATTTCAAACACCAAGAAGAAACTGAATGATGTTATACTTTATCTTGAACTTGAGTCCCTCTATATAGGATAGCTAAGGCAGTAAGTTAAGAGAGTTCCCCTTTCCTGGTCTAAAACCAGCAAATGAGGGAATTAACTTACCCTGACTCCACGGAATAAAACTAAGTAGCCCAACCCGGGCTTTAGATCTATTTGGATCTTCTCCAGCCTTCTACCAAAGGATTTGCTTACTAGATAATGATTGAGAACTAAGGTCATGTTGTTTTGAGTGGATTAGATTGGATGGGATTTGTATTCTTATGACTAACTACTAGTCCTAAGATAATCAATCCTTTTGGATTGGGTATCCTAGGATGATTATCAATTTATTTGGATTATGTATTCTATTCCATATTTGAATTGGCTTAGGATTATGAGAAATGGTTGATACAATTCTATCAATTTTGTAATTTTTAATCAAGTAGTTCGAATCTCTCTTTAATTTTCCATGTTGCATTTTGTCTCCCCTAACTTTCTGACAAATTTTTTATCAGTGGTCTTGTATTTCAAAAATATTCTTATAATGTATCCCTTAAAGTTTTTGTAAAAATTCTTAATTGGCCATCTATTTCAAGAGTGTTCTTACAATATATATGGGATGACCCTCCAAAAGTATTTTTTTCCCCTTACGCTTGGCCTGGGCGAGTCTTGGTACGGGGATTACTAGTAAGGTTGTTGTATTGTGACTCAAGTGTTATGAGTTTAAATCATAAAAATAGCTTCTCTGTATATAGCGATAAGGTTGTGTATATTTGATCATTCTCAAACTATGCAATGGAGAAGCTTTGTGCATTGAACTTTCATTTTTACACTTATCTTGGCCCCCTTTAAACAAATTTCCAGCTTCGTCCTTGCTTGTAACTTGTGAATGATTACAGAGCATGTTACATAAACTCTTTAAAATAAATCAAATACTAGTGTCGGATACTTGACACTTAGATAAGGGCATAAGATATGTGTTGGATATTTTTTAATGAATACTTCTTAAATAATTGTATATAACACTATTATTATATGTATATTTTCTTGTATAATTACTATAAATGTCTTTTTGACACTGTAAGTTATATATGGTACCATTTTATCTCACATACTTGATTAAAAATACAAAAATAAGATTTTTTTTGCCGAGTTCTCATATCCTTAAATTTATGATTTGATGAGTCTGACCTCTAGATATATACTCGCACCTGATATCCGTACTTGAATCCATATAACATAAATTACAGATATCCCAAGATTACCCTGTATTGTAGGTCCAATATGACCCTTCCTTTCAAGGGGTTCTCATCGTTTGAAAAAAATTAAAAAAAATAAATAAATAAATAAATAAGATAATTTGAATATGGAAGTGTAGTAGTAAGATCAAGTTTGGGAAGACTAAATAAGTGTACTTTTTGACTTTTTATGAAATATGAGTTGGATTTGGATTGGGTTTGAAGTGATGTGTTAGAGAGGTGATGTGGCTTAAATAAGATGATGTGACTTAAATAGGATAGTGACTTTTTGACTTTTTAAATTTTTTGGAAGATGCCAAACTTGGCCTAACTCAGCCTACATATGCCTTCTTTCCAAGCTTGTGGTGCAGAAACCAAGGCTGTGTTTGGTTGTGCTTTTGAAATGTGATTCTACATGCTAGTTTCAGCTCCATGTTTGGTATGAATTTTGAAATTAATTTTTCAAAACTCTGTCGAAAGTTCTGTCTATTCTGCGCGTTTCTTGTATTTTTTTTGACCAGGGAAGACCGCCCGGTCGTCCCTAGGGACTGCCACCCGGACGTCCTTGGGGACATCCACCCGGATGTCCTCTGCTGTACAGATTTTTTTTTTTTTTTGCAATTGATTTATATAATTGGGAAAAATATTTTCTAAATTTTTTTTAATTTTTAATATGCTTTAAAATAATTTTGAATTGTATGTTTAGTTAGGAGTTGTAAATTTTTGTATCACATATCAAATATCACATCAACAATTTTCCACTCAAATCAAACCCCTTTTGCAAAATTATTTTTAAAACTCTTTACCAAACAAATTTTCTACACTCAAATCATAATTTTACAACACACAAACTCAAAATACAACTTATACTCTCAAATTATATTTACAAAACACAACCAAACGCAACCCAAGATATGCATGTTGTCAGAAGAAGTGCAAGAGAAAAAGGAGTTTAGACAAAAGCAAAACTTGGAATTTGCTTCAATCCAATCACTGGATATTTCATTTACAAGTTGCCTTAGCTTCATTCTTGCTATATCATTTCCTTGGCTGAGATATGTTGTGGAGTTGTAGACTAAACTATTATTTGTCGATAAATATTATGAAATTATAAATGTCTAATTGATTTGACGCAAATAATTTACTTAATAAAGAACAGTTCGAGTAATAAAATAAAAATAAAAATAAAAAAACTAGAAAAAATCTTCCTCCAGGACACACACGCATACTTTTCTTCACACACGCACACACGCATACTTTTCTTGAAAATAGACTAATATTTAACATATTTAACAACACACGCGCGCATACTTTTCTTCACACACACACACACACACACACACACACACACACACACACACTTTAACATATTTAATAAAAAATTAAATTAATAATACAAAATATGTATTAAAAAAAATATTAACTCAAGCTGTACAAATAAAAAATAATAATATTTAAATCATACAAATATTAATTCAAATCATACAAATAAAAAACAATTAACTTGTTTGGTTCATATTTTCGGGACACTTTTCAAAAATTAAAACTTTTTGTTTTTTGTTTTTTTTTTGTTTTCACTGATTTTTTTGAATATTCTAAGCAATTTTTTTTTTAATTTTTAGATACACCCAACATAAATACACTAAAAAATTATAATATTTGTGAAAAAACTTTAGAAAATTGAGTAAATACCAAAAATAAAAAAAACATGAAGAAAATTACAAATAGAATTTTTTATTAAACAGAATTAACTGAAAGAATAAAATTTATAACTGTTCTTCTATATAATAATAAAATTACGTGAAATAAATTTTTGACATCATTAAAAATTGTTAATTAACTTGATAATTTATTAACAAAAGAGACTGTTTATTAAGAAGAAAAAAAATGAAAGAGCGAGATGTAATTTTTACAATCATAAAAAATAATTCAGATATTAAATAAATTTTAGGGAGTGTATTTATTAATTCCTTAAAAATAATAATAAGAAGTTGTGGCTTCGATTGGGTCAATACCGTGGACGTTTTAAGCTCTTGTTTAACGTTTTGGACTGCATATATATTTTGATTCTTTTGGCCTGGCCTTTTAATAAAAAATTAAATTAATAATACAAAAATGTATAAAAAAAATTATATAATTAAAATGATTGGTATGACCTGAATTAATATAAATAATAATTATTTAGATTTAATTTGTGAATAGAAAGTTATTATTTTTATTTACTAAGAGAAAACATATAAACTATAAAAATAAAAAAAAAATACTAACTCAAGTTGTACAAATAAAAAATAATTAGCTTGCTTGGTTCCATTTTTTCAAAAACACTTTTCAGAAAATTCTACTTTCTTATTTTCTGTGTTTTTTTGTTTTTACTGAATTTTTTTTAATATTTTAAGCAATTTTTTTATTTTTTAGACACATCTAACATAAATATAACTAAAAAGTAAAAAAATTGTAAAAAAAATCTTTTAAAAATTCACTAAATACCAAAAATATAAAAAAAAATACAAGAATTCAGTACATTTTTGTATTTTTATGTATTTATTAATTTTTTAAAATATTTTTTCACAATTTTTTTACTTTTTAGATATATCTAAGTAAGGTGCATCTAAAATAGTACAAAAAATGTTTAAAAATTTAAAAATATTCACTAAAAACAAAAAAACACGAAAACTAAAAAACTTAATTTTCAAAAAATTTAATCCAAAAAAGTTAAACCAAGCATACTGAATAATATTTAAATCACACAAATATTAACTCAAATCATACAAATAAAAAACAATCAACTTGTTTGGTTCATATTTTCCAGACACTATTCAGAAAATTAAAACTTTTTATTTTTCGTGTTTTTTCGTTTTCACTAATTTTTTTAATATTCTAA